ATTTCTGTGAAACAGTACCAAGAAAGATTGTTTTTAGCTAGAAATTGTTCATTATTTTAAAATTCAGTGGCTTTTCCTTTTTGTTATTTACTGAATGTTATGCAAAAGTTATGCAAACTTTTCTGACTCCCTCAAACAATATCACCAAACCTTCCAAATAATTCCCCTCAATTTGACCAAATGATACTGTGGGACTGTCAGGTGAATTTCATAAATTTGTTACCTTTTTTGCCCTCCCGGAATGAAAGACTTTGTCTTAACTTCATTCTCACGATGGCCCTGGAAATTAGTACTATTGGTGCTACCATTTTAAAGCGAAGAGCTTCGGTTACTTACCCACAGACAGGAATAGAAATGACTAGAAAAAGGAATGTGGGCCAGGAGGGTGCTCTGAGAAGACTCGGGGTGCTCCAGATCCTCCAGCTCAGCTCTCACCGGGGCAATGAGGGGCAAGCAGGCAGAGCGGCTGTACCTTGAGACGTCCAATTGTGCTCCCCTCCCGCGTACTGGTGGCCTGTTCTAGGTGCCCGAGCCTGAGCTAGTCCCCGGGAAACAGAGCTGAGCAGGAATCTGGATGCCATACGTGGATTCCTCAGAGCTAACAGCTTCCTTCAGCAGTCAGTAAATCTCAGGTTTGGTGTTTGCTTACTTTAAAATAATTTTCCTTGCCCTCTTCCGTTCCAATAACGTAGAAGTTCAGCCCATATTTGAAATCTTTGTCATAAACAAGCAGGATTTCATTTCCAGGATATTCCTGTAAGGATACAATCACAAGAGAGTGTTAACAGTCAACAGCCACTCAGTTTCTTTAGATGCTGACACGAAATTGATATTTCTGTAATCAACCAATCATAAAAGATAACCATAGTGCTAAGCGGTAGCTGATAGCTCCAAACTGCAAAATTATCAGATTAAAAAGCTCTTAAAAATCTAATGGATCAGGGCCAGCCAGATAGCTCAGTGGACTAAAGCGCCAGCTTAGGCAGAGCCCAGCGTTTGGGGTTTGATGCCCGGCCTGCTGTGCCAATCCTGCCCCTGGGTGTGCTGAGAGGGCTATTGAGACTGGGCCTGGTGGCGTGCGCCTGCGATCCCAGCGTTTGAGATGCTGAAAACAGGAGAATCACTACAAGTCCAATCTATGCAGTGAGACCTTGTAGACCCTGTACTAAAATACATTAAAAAAAAAATACAATGGATCCATGGAAATTGACCCTGACGTTTTATTTTGGGGAAGGAAGAGAAAAATATTGGTGGTGGTTTCTGTCGTGAGTTTGGAGACATAAGAGGCCAAAACTGAACAGAACAGAGAAAGCGGTACAAGAAAATAAAGGTGCATTTCTATTAGAGCTAACTCTGGGCGATAATCTGCTTTTCTCCGTGCAGAAGAAGGCAGCTGGCTGCTGCTGGACATTTGCACAGAGGGCTTTCCAAAGCGGGGCGCTGCGGACAGGCTAGGGTGTGCTCATCCCGCTTTGGTAAGTGGGAGGCCAAAGCTGAACTCCGCAGCGCCTCCAGCTTGTGGTGTCATGTTCCAGGAGTCTCTTGCGGTGAGGCTGAAAACAGCTGGGCTGCACTGTACGCACCTGAACAATTTTTTTGATCGGATGGAAGTCAGATACTGCGGCTCTGTTGCGCAAGTCCGCAAAAATGTCCTCCTTTTTGATGAGCTTATAAGGTACCTTGTCTGTGACGTCTTGATCCACTCGGCAGTTGAATATTTCCTGAGTCTTGGTGGTCAACACTAAAGGATAAATTTCTGGATGACCTAGAAAAGACAAAGTGAAATTTGGATATTAAGTGGAACCATTGAAAATAGTAGCAAGAGTATTTGTATTTCATTTTACTTTATTTTTGATGTGTTTTAGCACAAGGTCTACAGGGTCTCACTACATAGGTCGAACTTGTAATGCTTGCTCCTCCTGTTTTCAGCCTCCCAAGCGCTGGGATTGCACCCCTCTCAGTCGCTGTCTCAGCGCACCTCGCGGGCGGGGCCGTACAGGAATGGTACTTTCAATAATTCTCTTGGTTAAAAATTTTAAGACTTTAAAATTATTGTTCTTATACTTAATTAAATAAAGCCATTATAAGATATTGAACAAAATTTAGATGGAAGAAAATGCCAATGGCCCATAACAGTGCCCATCAAGAAAGAAATTCTATTAATATTTTGCTCTGCTTTATTTCAGTTACTTGATATGTACCTTACATGAAATTCTAAAGGCCGTTTTTAGTACTATTACATCACAAATAGTTTATTATGGCACTAAATAATCTTCTACAAACTTTTAAAGTTAACTTAATTCTGTAGCATGATTTAAAGCCATTCTTGTATTGGTCAGCATTTTATTTTTTCTCATTTGCTTCCAAGTACTGTAAATAATCCTGCAAATACAATGTAGTTTAATTTTTTTTCATATTAAAATTTTTTTTTGCGGGGGAGAGGTATTGAGTGAGATTATTGCTCCAAAGCCTCTGTTGTTTTCCCAACACATCCCAGCCTCCATTCTGGCCCTCTTCTCTCCCTGTCTCTGTGTCTGTTTATATTCAGTGTTTATATAGTGTTGAGTAAATTAAACACACTCGCGAGCGCGCGCGCGCGCGCGCGCGCACACACACACACACACACACACACACACACACACACACACACACAACTGTAGTTTTGCCTTACAGATCCACTAGGTGGCGCTATGAGAACCCCGTAGTAGAGTGAAAAAAGAAGCCACACTAAATAAACTTTGCAGATGTTTAGGAAAACCAGGAAACGCTATCGTCCAAGAAATTGGGAAAACAATGACCCAAAAAACAGACTTTTCTATGTTACCTGCCACCCTTAAATATATGCTCCAAATTTTTTATTTTATGCTACTTTTAGTACTTACTGTTACACCACAAATATTTTATGACACTAAATAATCTATTAAAAACTTTAAAAATTAACTTAATTCTGTATTAGATTACATTAGAAATGATACAGAGTTTACAAAATAAGATGATAGGCATTCAACAGTGGCTGTTATACTGCACATAGCTGTCCTCAATGCAGTTGCTTAGATTAAGCATGTAAAATTGGTCAAAGCAAACATCTTAAGCATTAACTGTTACCTTCAAAAAACTGATAGAAATTAGCAGTACAATCATCTTAGCTATACTGTGTATACACATACATGATTAGAAATTGTAGACACGGGACCTATGAACTCTTTTAGAATATTTTGCTGAGTTTACACACCTATAATATTTAAATGATGGAACTTAACAAAAAGGGGATACAGATGAATGTCCATTTGGTATCTGTGTATTCAAAGTGGTTAGGATAGATATATAGTTACATTCTCCTAGTGAATAGAGGGATTTGTTCTAATGGTGTTTGTAAATAGGATATCAAGTCCGCATCTTGATAGCAATTAACCACTAGGAAGAATGTATGCAATGTGTTAATTATTGAAACTGTCCTACCAATTTGGTTTGAAACTGTCTCATTGCTATTTGTTTCTCAATAAAATTATGGAAAAAAAGAAATTGCAGACACAAATACAAACACATTCAGCCATCTTATCTTTGACAAAGGAGCCAAATGTGTTCACTAGAAGAAAGATAGCTTCTTTAACAAATGGTGCTAGAAAAACTGGCTTTCCACATGCCAAAAACTAAAACTAGATCCAAGTCTATCACCATGCACTAAACTAAAATCAAAATGGATTAAACATCTAAATATTGGAACAGAAACACCAAATCTACAGTAAGAGAAAGTAGAAGACCTAGGGCTTGGCAGAGAGTTCATTGATCAAAAATCAAATTGGACAGGAAATACTCCAAAGAATCAACAACTGGGATCTGATCTTATTGAGAAGTCTCTGCACATCAAAAGAAATCATCAACAGAGTGAAAAGAAAGGCCACAAATTGGGGGAAAAATCTTAACCAACAGTCACTCAGATAAAGGACTTCTATCTTGAATATATAAAGAATGAAAAAAAATCAGGGCCCCCAAATTCAAAGACTCTACCCAAACATGGGCATCTGCGATGAATATACATGCTTCAAATTCTAATAGCTTCAAATTCCACTTCTTATAAAAGTGATCTTTTTTGTACTAATAGGACCAGTTCAGTGCAACTTTAGTATAGGTTTTAACGTTCATTGATCTAGAAGTCAGTGAACTTCAAGAACTGTCTCTAGCTGGGGTCGGCAATCAGTAGCACTGTAGATGACAGGTAGCCAGTAGACTTTCCCACGCTAGCACCTCCCGGCCCCCCAGCATAACAGTCAAGCTAAAGGGAGGAAGGGTGAGGCTTCTGACCAAGTCCAAACTCTGGAGGAAATTAAGATGAGCGCTGCTGTTTTTCCAGCTTCAGGGCACACACTGAGGACAGCGCCTCAGGCTGCAGTGATGCTTCCATGGTGACCAGCAGTGAGAGGGGCTTCAGGGAGCCTTGAACACAGTGGGAGGCTGGTGGCTCCCAAGAGAGTAAGAAATGATTGCAGCAAATGAGAAGGTCTTTGGGACTCTATCAAGGCGACCCAGGTCAGAAGGACAATATCCACTGGGAATGGGGCCAGGCTAGTGCCAGCCCCGGGCCCAGGGGCATTCACCACCATTCTCCTGACCATTCTCCTGACCATTCTCCTGCAGAGCCAGTGCAGTGCCAAGCTCTTTACACCATTAGACCATTTAATCTTCCCAACAGCATCCTGACCTGGTTAGGACAGCGAGCACCTCCACTGTTTAGCCAAGGAAGCCCATGCTCACAGAGGCCCTGCACAATTTCCAAGATCAGTTGCTGAGAGCTGGAAGGCATGTAGCTGGGACCCAAACCCAGTCACTGTGTTCTGGCTCAGATGCTTCCCTCTCTGTCTAGTGAGTGGACACAGCAGAGCCAGAAGACAGACTTGAGAGGACATTCCATGGGACACAGTAGGGGGCTGTTATCTTCCTAGCAGCCTGTGGAGCAGGAACTGAAGACAGACTCAAGGATGAGTCATGCCTCAGATACACTCAGTTCAAGCCTCTGATTGGCTGTGTGCTCAAGACAGAGGGCCCTGCAATTCTTTCTTTCTTTTTTTTTTTTTTTTCTTTTTTTTTTTTTTGTGGTCGGCTCAGCCCACCCTGGGGGCGGGAATGGCACGGCATATGGTGACTGGGATTGAACCGCAGTCCCTGCGTGCTTGCCTAAACTTGCCTAAGCCAGTGCTTTAGACTGCTGAGCTATCTCACTGGCCTGAGCCGTGCAATTCTAACCATAGACTACACGTGTGGGTCCTACAGTCTGAAAGAGTTCACTTAAACAATACCCATATGTTTTACATATTTCCCCTGTGCCTTATTTTATATCTTGTTTAAAATCAATTGACCATATATATGTGACTTTTATTTTTGGAGTCTATTTTTATTCATTAATCTCTTTCTCTATTATTACAGTACTACTTAAAGTAGTAAGAATTAACATGACCATATTTTGTGACAGCCCCATGTGCGGGAGTGTGCATGTATTACCTAATTTATTTTCAGAACAAAGGTTCAGCAAGGAGCATTTATTTGGGGCTAAACTATCTTACTGTGGGCAACCATGATTTGAATCACAGCTAATGTCACAGGCTGTGCAATTCACTACTTGGGTGAATTAGTCCCAGCAAAGTTGTCCCGTCCTTTTCAGGAGTCTATGTAGCGTCACATTTTTGTGCTTTTTCGTGATGAGTTTGCTGCTTCCAATGGTCTTAGAGCACAGTGCTGAAGTGTTTTCTAGCATCGTAAGTACAAGTTCTGTGATGGGACTTAGGAGAAAATTGGAACCCTAGACAAGCTTCTTTCATGAGTCATGAGTCATAATCCTAAGACTGGTGTTAATGAAGCAATAACACATACTAAACACTATTAATAACATACACAAAACCCATACTAGGTTAATGAATAACATACACTAGCCGTACCTCTCTAGTGGTAATGTATTACTTGTTGATAAATATGAGGACAGAGGCTTGAAGAAATCTGACCTCTTATTTCCTCTAAGAATAATAGTTTGAGGGCCGGGGAGATAGCTCAGTAGAATAAGCACTTGCCTGGCAAGCGCAAGGGCCTGAGTTCAATTCCCGGTACCGCAAAAATAAAAAAAAAAAAAAAAAAAAAAAAAAAAAAAACGTAAAATTTTAACCACTAAGAAGAATATATGCAGTGTACTATTTGTTGAAACTGTACTCTCGATTTGATTTGAAACTGTCTCATTGCTATATGTTTATCAATAAAACTTTGAAAAGAAAAAAAATAAATTAAATTAAAATCAGTAAATAAAAATAAAACACTGTGCTTCACCACTGGGAAAAAAAAAAAAAGAATAATAGTTTGGTACTGTATCAGGTGATTCAGTAGTTGAAGCAACTTTATGGAACTTCCATGAATGATAAGAATAAACTCATTATATTTTGGATCTGGAGTGTCCAAGTCCTGCGTGCTCAAGACTGTGTCTCCAGCTCAGCACTACTCGGAGGTGGTGGCAACTTTAAGAAGGTGGGGCTAGGAGGAGGTCTTAGGCCATGGGGCGGGTGTATATCCTCAAGGGAATTGTGGGATCTGGTCACTTCCTGTTTCTCCCTTTCACCTCCTGGCCATGAGGTGAGCGATTTTTCTCTGCCACACATTCCTGCCATGACATGCTGTGGCAGCCCCCTCCAAAACATGCCCCACTAGTCATGGCTGAAACCTCCAAAACTATGGCCCAAATAAACTTTTATCTTTATAAGTTAATTACCTCTGGTATTTGTTACAGTGGCAGAAAGCTGATTAGCATAGACCTTTACTTTCAGAATTATAAGTGCTATGAAGGAGAAAAGCCTCTTGAGGGGGAGATGGATTCTAAATCGCAATTATGAAGAGATACTGGCATAGAAATCTGAGAGGTATTTACCCACCCTATATGATTAGAAGCCAAGATCTTCATCTAAGCCAACTCTGAGAAAGAGTTCTCCCCTCCACTCCCCTAGTTCTGCTGAAATAAAAATTATTTAGCCTTTCAAAGCTTGGTTGATTAAGTTGTAGTTTATTTGCCTGAAAACTCAATTTCCTTGAAATTGTGGAATCTGACCACGAAGTATAGATAAAAATTGCCAATGAATCAGGGTTTGAAAAAATACTATTCTGATGAAAGTAACAGCTTATAGATTTTATAACTTCACAGTTAGAAAAGATCTTGGAATAATCACCTAATAGATTTTGAAAGTACTATTTGGTCTAAATCTATTACTCAGCTTAAAAGTTTTCTTTTAGCCTTTATTAAAATCTTTAATTTTTTGTTCTAACTCACGTGGTAGAATTTTAGCTCTTGTACCTTTTTTTATTTATGTATTTGGTACAGGGTCTCACTATGTAGCTCAGCCTCCTAGTGATCCTCCTGTTTTCAGCCTCCATAGCCCGGGGATCACAGCCGTGGGTCACCATGCCTGGACTCTGTTGCCTGCTCAGCGTGCCCCAGGGGCCAGGCCAGCGCTGCATGTGGGACCAGGGATCGAACCACGGTTCCTGTGCTTGCCAAAGCAGGCGCCTAGTCCACTGAGCCATCTTGCCAGCCCTTCTTGTACATCCTGATCACTTTAGTTGGTAGTATTCTTTCCCGCTTACTACATAGTAACATGTTACTAAACACAAATTCTAAATTATATTTCCACTTACCCATGCTTTCCATATTTACTGGTTCCTCTTCTTCAGTAGCTAAAATAAAATAAAATAGTATCAAATTTCCATTTGTAAATCAAATATATCTCAGCTCACTATAATGCTTTACCAGACCTCAAAAGATAAAACACAAAAGCAAATATACAATGAAGACATAAACTAGCTTATAAATAATTACATGCAAATGATTATCTTTCAAAGAGAGATATTACTGAGATATTTGCTAAGGCATTTGTTGTATGGCATTAATTGATATTGTAATGAAGTAAATCAAAAGTGAAAGCAAATCCCCCAATACTTAATTCTGCATCTGTTTGTCTTTATGACAACAAACATATTTCATTTTATTTGATACATAAAACCGTAGTCATTTTGACTGACATAACCCATTAAATGAAAGATAATCCTACCAGGCAATACTGGTTTCTGTTTCTTTTTGCCAGGTGTCGGCTTCTTCTGGCCACTTTTTGGGGATTTTGGAGCCATCTTTCTGACGTGGCCTATATAACAGATAATGTGATTAGTAAATGCTGTTTCACAGTTTCGGCTATTAAGCATTGTCATGTGGTGAACATAACAATCTATTTTCTAGGTTTTGCCTGAACTAAACCAATATACATCTTCAATAGGATGGCATCCTGTGAGCAAAGGCTCCTGTGGCAGCGCTGCTGACCAGCTCTGTCTGGTTCCAGCAGAACCATTCAGCCAGCACGGATGGTGACCTGCCAGAGCACGCAGACTCAGTGCAGGCCTGCCAAGGGAGGGTGCTGGGCTCCCGCCTCTCACGCTGGTTTCCATCTGAGCTGGCCACTCTGTGCTGCCTTGTGCTGGGCTCCCCAAAAAACCCCACCTACAAGAGGAGTTGTAAGTCTTCCAGGAGAGGCAGGCCCACAGGGTGCATTCACGTACACAAATTTTAAATTGACATCATTTAAGCCAGACTTTTGCCTTAGCATGTGTGTGTGTAAGCTCTAAGGTTAGTGTGTTCTATCAAAGAAAGGATGTCCTGGGCAGTGTCCTACGCAACTGTCACTTTTGACAGATTGGGGCATGAACCAAGGTTGTCACCATGGCAAGTCCTCGTGTTCTCCAAGATGCCCACCTCTGCCCCATGCTGTTTAATGGTTATTTCAGGGGTCTCACCAGCAAGGGTCTAAAAACAAACCCTGATATTTGCTTGCTCAATAACCTTGGACCAATTACTATCTTCATCCATTTAATGGGGATAATAATAAAATCTGCCTTCACAAGGTGATTGTAAAGACTTAATGAGATTAATAAAAATAATTCACTTCAGACTTGCTTGCCTCATTTCAATAAATCACACAGATTTATTTTTATTTCATAGTCCATATACAAAGTATCAGAAGTTTAAATTTTTACCTTGTCCTTTGATTGTAAACATTTGACTGAAGTGTGAATGTCTGTGTGCTTGCCTAGAAATATTTTTCTCATCAGATTTTTGTCACGTGTGTTTGCAAATGGGGACAAGGACAGCCCACAGCTGGAGAGTCCCAGAGAGCTTTCTGTGAGTCAGACACAGCTCTACAGGCACCTCACAAGCATTTACTTTAATCCTAGTTTTGTTTACTATTATCTTCATGCTGCCTTGAAGAGAGCCATTGGGACACACTTCTAACCTCTGCCCCTGCCTGCCCATTTGATTCAGGGAACGCTGCTTGAGAAGAACCCAACAACACTGGCTTTTTCTCAAGCACTGTATTATGGCTAGGGATGCGCTGCTGCATGTCCTCTTATGCCCGAACCCAGGCTGTAGGAGCAGCCCAGACTTGCCACACAAGTGCTTTGTTACAATTGAAACTATTTAAAATTGTGGTCTTTGCCTAGGCAGGCACAATCTGTGACTGAATCAACAGTTCACAATTCTGACCACTAGAAATTTTTGTTTTCAAATGAGTGAGTGGCTCTCTCAGCTTTTCTGACCGACTGCCTCCATAGCTCTGTCCCCTCTCAGTGTAACAGCGCAGATTAGCCCCAATTCTTTCCTAGAACAATTCCTTATCAATGTACCCTCTCCATTTTCTGTTCTAGCTACATTTGGTTTAAAAGATATAAAACACTCTAAATACCACCTAGCCTCACCCTACACACACACTTATACACACACACTTGCATATGTACACAGTACACACATGCACCCCCCCATGCACACACACACACATGCACATGCGTAGCACCACTCTCCATTCCACATATATATATTTATTGACCAGAATGTACCAGAAACTATCCTAGTGTTGGGGCTACAGCAGTAAACAAAACAGGCAAAAAAAAATGCTTATCCTGAAAAAGCTGACATGGTGGTGGTGGGTGGACACACAATGAACAAATAAAGGAGCAAAATAATTAGTATTTTATATTTAGATACTAAGAAAGGGCATAAAGTAGGAAAAGGAGAGGAAATGTAGGCTGCAATTTCACACTGAAGGACAAGTGTTGTAAATGACATGAGAACAAAGACCTCAGAGAAGAAAGAGGCCAGAAATGCAGACATTTGGGAAAGGCAGTATTTCTAGACAGAGGCCACTGGAGGTATAAAGCGTCAGAGGTAAACATGCACTGGGCAGGTCATGATGGCCAGAGCAGACAAGCAACAGGAAGGTTAGGAGTGAAGCTAGTCCAAGAAGTGATCAGGACATATTAGTCAGCTTTATTGCAGTGACAAATGGCCCCGAAATCTCTGTCTCATACATTGGTTTCTTCTCAAGCTGTGTATTATGGCTAGGGAAGCGCTGCTGCAAGTCCTCTTATGCCAGAGCCCAGGCTGAAAGAGCAGCCTGGACTTGACACAGGGCACTCTCTTTGCAGAGGAAAAAAGCAGGGGCCATAGGGGAACCACATGATGCTTGCTAGTCCTCTCCTTGGCATTGGTCCACTGTCCCTCTAGCTCACATTCTATTGGCCCAAACATGCACTAAGCAATCCCAGGATGGTAGAATACTCTGCCTGCTTAGCAAGAGGTGGGAATGTGTGAATTTCTTACAGAGAAGGAAGTAATAGCTCAGCATGGCATCGATGGGAGCAGCTGTACGATGTACAGCAGGTCTTGTATGACTTTTGCTTTTACTCTGAATGAAGTGGTGAGCTACTAGATGGTTTTGAGGGGACCCAGCGTGTGTGTGTGCGCTTTACTGAGGGTTGAACCATGGTTTACAATGAGCTACATCCCCATTTATTTTTTGTTTTGAGATGAGATCTCATTAAGTTGCATAAGCTGGCCTCAAATCTGCAATGCTCCTGCCTCAGCTTCCTGTGTAGCTGAGATTATAGGTGTGTGCCACCACATGTGGCCTCACCCACATTTTAATGATCAATAGGTGTGATACATTGGGAAAAGACTGCAGTAAGAAGAGGGCTGAAGCAAGGATCCGATGAAGAGCTATTCAAGAACTGGTAGGAGAAGTGATGGCAGATAGGGCTGGGAAGTGCGAGCGGGTAGGAAAGGGATTGGAGCTGGGCATAGGGGTATATTCTGCAGCCCCAACTGTTCAGAGCTGAGGCAAGAGGACTGCTTGAGACTAGGAGCTCATGGTTGTCCTCAACAATGAGACACTCTCTTAAAATATGATTGGATCCTAGACCCAGAGCTCACAGGATTTTCTGTGGACTTGGGTGTAGGGCCTGAGAGGAGGAGCTTGAGTGTTATGGCAGTGAATTTTGCCTAAGGAATGGAAGGCATGAAGTGGATGTTCCTTGTGTTGTGGTCTGCTGGGAAAAGGGTATTTGGAAGGGATTCTGTGACCTGTGATGACGGAATTGTGTTTTCATTTCTGTTGACATAACCCCTGTAAGGGGCGTAGTGAATGTACTAAAAACTTGTGTTTTGAAAATTGAACTAATGACTGTGTAGTTTTCTATTCCCATCTACCATTCTCTGTGAAAATCTCATCTGAAAAAAAGGCTTTTTGTCTAATGGTCCATGGAATTCTCTTCAAAGTCAGTGCACGTAGAAGCAGCCCCTTCCTTCGCTCCATGTGCTAACCTTCCCTTCCTCTTCCCTCTGCCAGTTATAGTTTTTTTTTTTTTTTTTCCAGAACTGAGGATTGAACGCAGGCCTTTGCGCTTGCCAGGGAAGCACTTATTCTGCTGAGCCATCTCCCTGGCCCCCAAAAAGAGTTGAAAGGTTTTTTTTTTTTTTTTCCCTCTGCCAGTTATAAGGGCACCTGTGATTACCTGGGTAGTCACCTAGATAATCCAATGTAATCTTCTTATTTTGTCCTCAGTTTATTGGCAACTTTAATGCCATTGTAATCTTAATCCTCTTAGCCATGTATAACTACAGGGCCACAGGTTCCAGGGATCAAGAGGCGCTACCTTAGCATTAAGCTACAGTATAGGTATCAGTTTAGCAAGTCATTCCCCTAATATTCTGGGTCAACATATGTGCATTTCTTTTCAAATGCAGCTAGTAAATGACTTGTGGGTAATTTGATGGAATTTCCTATTTTTAGGGAGATACAAAGTAAAATTTTTAGCAGTAAATAAGCCTACAAAATTAAAACCAGCATTACAAATGCTTGCTGCATTATCAAACAGCTTATTTACAACTTTTACAAATACTTTTTTTTTTCATTTATGTATTTGGTACAGGGTCTCACTACACAGCTCAGCCTCCTAGTGATCCTCCTGTTTTCAACCCCCCCCCACCGCATTGCTGGGATTATAGCCACGTGCCACCATACCTGGAGTCGGTGGCCGGCTCAGTGTGCCCCGGGGGTGGGGCTGGCTTGGCATGTGGGACCGGGAATCGAACCCTGGCCCCTGAGCTTGCCAAAGCAGGCATTTAGTCTGCTGAGCTCTCACTGGCCCCTCTACAAATACTAATTAACTTCTCTGTCTAAATTGTTGAATCATAATCAAGAGCAAAGAAAGACTAGGTTGTATAGCAGGCTTTTAGAGGTCCTAAGCCTTCTTAATTAAACAGCAAGGCATCTTAGTTGCTAGGCATCATAAACAGAGTTTCCTTTGCTGAGGTTAGGCTAGTGAATCCATTCTTAACTAAAAAGAAAATAATTAGTTTGAAAGTAGCTACCTTACACTGCATTTGTATTTTAGGAAAATTTTAATACTCAGCACAGCTATTCTCCTTCTGGATATTTTCCCAAAGAATTAAAAAATCACACTGCAGCGATATATGCTCACCCATGTTTACAGCAGCATGATTTGTCACAGCTAAATCTTGGAAGCAACTCAAATGCCCATCCACTGAGGAATGGATAAAAAGTTGGTATTTTGTACAATGGAGTACTACTCAGCTATAAAAAGGATAAACTTGCAACATTTATAGGGAAATAGATGCAACTTGTGACCGTCCTCATAAGTGAAATAAATCAGATTTGCATGTGTAAACATCATATTGTCTCCCTAGTGTAAGAAGCTGAAAGAATAAATAAAATCCAAAATGTACAAATGGAAAGAAACTGTTCAAAAGGAAAGACAATCTGTGATGACCGAAAGGAGAAAAGAAAAAAAAAATATA